AATGGAAGAACTAAAACCTTTTCCTATTCTAGTTTTCAGGAACCTTTCATCTCATATTGACTTTTAACCCTGCCAAGCCCAAAAACACCTGTGTTTGAGTGACAAGGGCTGCCCAGCTGTGTGTAGTCTGGTACCGACGCACTGCCCCATGGTGGTCACTGATTGTAGGGGACACCAAACCTGGGTACTCTACCTGCAACACAGGCTGTCATGAAACAGGCGACAGTTCCCGCAATCATTGCTCTGAAAGCACCATCAACTATTTCCTTCTTTTTTGAGGGAGCAATACTCGCTAGAAAGAAAAATAAAGTGTGTGTCAAACAGAAACATATGTAAGGAAGATTAAGCTGTCAGTTTTTTCACTACAAGAGGAATTTCCAACCCTGCAGTGTGAACTAGGGAAAACAAGGAGGAAAAGTGTGACATTTTTTAGTGGGTTATTTGAAGGCCAAGTGCCAGTGTTGGCTCTTCTGTTAAGAAGGTGGCTTGTATATAAAATGGTGACTTTTCTTTGCTTTGGGAGCTTGTACATCTGTGCTGCTAAGGGTGCCCTTCTGAAGAGTCTGGTCCTGTGGCTGGGTCTTGCTCCTCCATGCTACCCCACTGTTGGCACTATGGAGCCCACTGGGCTTCAGGGCAAAAGAAGGCTGCCAGTAATTCCAGCTGCTTCATGAGGAACTCAAATTTTTTTTTTTTTCTTTTTCCATATATGCAATATTTTTACAGGAAACAGCCAACTTCATCTTTCAAACCAGCATACTACTGAAACAGTTTGCTCCTTATGAAGCTCAAGGGCTGTAGTAGCTCAGGCTCATGGTCGAAGGCTAAAGAGGGAGGACTATTAGCAAGGCTTAGTCCCCTCTCCTTGCTCTCAGCACCTCTCCCAGTACCTCCACCCCAAAGCCTATGCCCCTCTGGGACCCCTTCCATGCACAGTTAGGTGCTAGCAGAGCAGCACCTCAGTTCCTAATACTGCTAAGCTTCACCCACAGCCTGTTCCTTCTGGTGTTTTCCTTGGGATTTGCTTGCCAAATAAATTGTCTTTTAGAGAGGTTCTTACTCAGGCCTCCTATTACCAGTCCCAGCGAGCCGAAGTTGGCAAACCCACAAAGAGCATAGGTGGCAATGACTTCAGAGCGAACCTGGAAAACAAACATACACCCTCTCAGTTGTTTGAAACAGCTCGTGCTGATTCAAGGGTCTGAAAATATGGCATTGTGGCTCAGGGCTCTGAGTACTAAAATTCCTCAATTTCACTTGGTTGCTGCCCCAAGTAATGGTTTTCAGAAAGGTAGGCTCATTCTCTTGCTGGAAATCGATGCTTTTATACCCACTGCCCATGTGAGAACTCACAAATCATGTGATGTTTTTATTTTTCCTGTATATTGTTGTGTCTTGTTGAATTTAGTAATAGCAATAAAAGACAAAAAAAATCTTATCTTACTAGTGGAAATTTAACTTCTGCTTTCTGAAAGTATGAGTCAGAGAGCTATAACTCAGCTACTCCTTCGTAGCTGGATGCATCCATGATAGTCTGTTGAAACCTCAAGTTTTGGTAGGCATCCCTGACTACTTTGTCCCTGAACAAGCAGAGGACTCTATGTACAAAGCTGCTCTGTGCATGTTCCACCCTGGGCACAGAAGGGAAATTGGTCTCCTAAAGAGTGGATACTTTGATGTGTTAACAGGCAGAGAGGGACATTAAGATTTTGGAATCCCCCTTAGCAGCTTATTTCCTTACTGACTTCCACCATTTTTCTCCCCTTGAGTAACACCAGTTCAACGTGGACCTCAAACGAGAGACTAGGTTAGGATGGCCTTTGCTTCCATGGAGGGACCCCTGACATGACACAGAATGACTTCAGGTGAAATCAGGCTACAAACCTTGCAAAACTTCAGATAAATATTGTTCAAACATTTTGAGAAAGTAGGTAATGTATCTCAGCAAATGTTTTGTTCCCTTGGCAGTTCTGAATTCCTGTTTAAGCTAAATAGGAATAGGGTTTTAGGCTAAAGCTGAAAATGTGTGAGTATTCTAGCAGGTTTCCTGTTTATTAGAAGTTTCTTTGTTTTAATTTGTCTTTTATGAACATCAATTTGTAGATACTTTCAATCAATCTGCACAAATGCAGAAAAATGCTTCTCAAGTACGCACTCTACCAGGTTTTCCTAGAAAAAGCTTTGTGTGCTGTGATGTTCATGCTTTCATTTACACTTTATTTTCTCTGAAAACAGGAAGCCACGTAATTACTGACTCAGGTGAGGACACTTGTTTGTTAACTCTGAGTGATTAACTGCATGAGGATGTATTAGAGAGCTCCGAAACTGAAGAGAAATTAAAAATGGAAGTCAAGCACACTCTCAGCTGAACTATTGTGCTGTAATTATAATGGTTACTGGGCAATTTTTACCAGCATTATAAATCAAAATTATTTTTATATATCAGACCTTTTTAGCATGGAAGCTAATACAGCTCTTTACAGGTATAAAAAGTGAATGTGGAAGTTCCGTATGACACCCTACCGAAAAGAAAAAAAAAAGAAAGAAAAAGAAAAAAAAAAGTTAAATAGAATTCATAAGATCTGCATTCTAAGGCTGACTTCCAGACCAAAAAACCCCTTATTCACATATACAGAAGTTCAGAGCCATATTCCCCAAGCAGAATGAAGCACAACTGTAGCAGGACACAACAAAGATCCTTCCAGCCCAGGATTCTATTGGCAGGAATTTCAGGAACACTAATAATGGATGGTCAGGCAAGGGTGTGAATATTTGATCAGACCATCTATCCTTCTATCTTTCTACCTCCACATGTGAAATATGTCCTGGTAATCAGGAATGCAAGTGGTCAAGAACATGGTTTTTGTTTTTAATATGAGAGGTATTCACAGCATTACACCAGATTAAAAGAAGATTAAAAGCTGTATAAAATGCTTTATAATTAAGGATTCTTCTACAGTGACAATTTGTCTTGATTTAAGGAAGGAAGGCCAATGCAGGTGTAAAGTTAGATATCACGGTTTTTGTTGCCTGTGCTTAGGACAAATACAGCACAGGCAGTGAATATGGGTGCCAGGTGGGGAAGCAGTCATGGCTGCAAAGATTTGATCAGCTTTGATCACTGCATGACCTTTGGCCCTGTGCACACACTTTGGATTCCCTTAGCACAGCCTTCCTAAGTGCCCTGTGGTTATGCATCTGTTGGGTGGACTGCCAATGAGAGGTGGGACAAGGCTTTGTCTGGAAGTCTTTATGCAAACTAACTTTCAGTGGTAGTCGAAACAGACTGGTTGGAGTCAGTTTGGCAAGTGAAGTGTATGGCATGTAATACATACCTTTTATTACTGCCCTCTGCACAGGGGACAATTGCCTCCAGCAAAGGTGTGCCAGTAATGACATCTGCTAAAGCTTGCTGGATGTCTCTCTTCAAGTTTAATGCTTGGGCAAACCTCTGAGGGCAGGAGGATCCTCCAGTTCTTGCCCAAGTTTTTCTTAGGGCAGTAGCTCACAGGAAAGTGCTAGCTAAGAATCAGGTAAGAAGCTTACCTTGAAGACAGCCTCTGTCTGTGGGACATGGCATGTTCGCCAAAACTATGCCCTTCTGTTTCTTTGTTGGTTTGAGACAGCTAGTGTGATGACAGTCCTAGCAGCCTCACAAAGAAATAGTGCACTTTCATAATTGAACTCTGTCACTTAAGGACACGCTTTAGAGTAATATGCAACCATTTTACGCCTATATTAAAAAATAAGTTAAGTTTCAACATTGAAGTATTAGATCCAAAAAATCTATAGAACAGAAAATGTTACTTACTGTCATATACTGTTTCACTCCATTAATGTACATGCTTCCACCCTTTTCTCGGTTGTGAATCAGTTTTGAAAGACGCTCATAAGCCAAAAATTCATTGAAGAAAGTTTTGTAACCTAGTAGGCCACCGACAATAAAACTGTCTTCCCAGTCTACTCCCATCATGAAAGAGAATGGCATGAAGACATAAGCACAAATGTTCTGTGGAATATATAAAACAAACCATGTCAAAAGATATGGCTGATCAAAGAATAATGGCATGCAATAACTTCTCTAAACATCCAGTGAGGATGGTTTTATTTCAGCAGAGAAGAATTGACTTTGAATTCTTGCTGCCAACACCTCTGGAAGACTTTTTCATAGTAAGGTACGCTTGAGTAATTTTTAAAAGACTAACCCAAAATCTAGATATAAAAAAGTTATTAGGTATGTCCCTAATTTTACATGTAAAGTAAAACAAACATTTCTGTGCCTTTTTTTCCCAATAATGGCTTTAAATTGGGCATGGTGTTTGAAGCAAAGAAGAAATATTGAGTTAAAGGAGTTGATAAGGAAACTGAGAAGTCTAATTCTTCTCCTGATTAAATCAAAAGTGTTAATGAACATGCTTGATTACCAGGTGGTTGGACTCTAACTGTTGTAAACAGAAGAGTTGTCTCTGCATAAAAGCTGTGCATCTGACACTATTAAAGTTGTACCATTTTTTTCCTGGTATTAAAAGTATTATGCAAATTTAAAAAGAAATTCAATCTCACAGTACAGCTTATTTTTATATAAGCAAAAATAGCTCCAGCTATGGAAGGGTTTGGTCAAATAGTCCTTAGCAAATATAAAAGAGGTCTTTAAGCAGTTCCTATTCCTGGCTGGTTTCTCTGCCCTCAAAAGATTAGAGGTTAATGTCTCTCAAAAGGGAAGGATGGCTGAATGCATCATGTCTGTGCAACTCAGATCCTTGTGGACTATCTACCTGTCCAAATCTTACACTATCCAGCAGTTAATAAAATACCAGCCCTTTCACGAGGGCTGAGGCATGCATACTAGAGCCTTTCCTTAACTGTAAGTGTCTGTGCAGTGAGATAACTGTGAAAGCTCTGCAGGGTACTATCTTCATATTAATGAAGCCACATTTGTTATGAGTGCCTATTCACTGCTGCAGCACCTTTATCAGAAGTTACATCCATGTTTAACGCAGGGCTTCTATTAGTCTTGCAAAAAAAAATGCCCAAAACCATTGGAACATGGTTGCATTGAGTCAAAAATTACATATTGACCTAGGTTAAAACAGAAGTCCTATTTGAAAACTGTTTACTCAGCTAAGTGACTTGGATACAGTTTTAGATTGTGTTGAAAACTAACTGGTATTGAGTAAATGTGGGTTCAGACAAGTCCAGCCTTGTCCCAGTGTCCCCATCTAAGTGAACTTGATGAACATTAAGGGTTTGATGGGATTCTGAAGCTAAAGTTACTTTAATGTTTAGCTGAAGATGTTAATGGCTTGTCCAGTGTGTACCTGACAGATTTGCTGCGTTGTCAAGTCCGAGGAGGTAGGTGTTAGCATATTCTGGGTAAACATACTATGAGGGTTAGCAAGAACACCAAAAAGGGAAACTATACATAGAGTAATAGCTACAGAAATACTTACATGGCAATAATTTTACTTTGACTGTTAAGACATCTTTCAGTACATACAAATAAAATATGGGTTTGGATCATATTAAAGAGCAATACAACAATGAAAAATAACCATCACAAAAGCACACAAGCTATTTGAGTAAGATAAATTATACGTGTATGTGAGCTGCATGAAGAACCTGGAGACCATACCTCAAAGTTCAGCTGTGGATAGTCAAACAAGCTGCCCAGCCAAGAAAGGATTGAGTCAAGAAATGTCAGCAAGGCAAGGAAGGAGATCAGATTCACGGCGATGTTTGCTACCAGTGTGATGGAGGTAGAGGCACCCTGACTGGCTGCTTCCAGCAGATTCTTTGAGTCACTTTGTCAATGAAGAGAAAATAAGAGTATGAACATTTTTCAATTCAAGAATAAATAACAGAACTAAAAAGTATGTGCACTTGATTAGAAGTCTAGTACCAAAGTTATCTGTTCACTCATAAGGAAAACAATGATGAGATGGAGTAGGTTTTGCTGTCAATTTTCATGGCAGACACTTGAAGCATGTGTTTGTGGTGCCTTGAGGATGAATTCTCTGACATGGTCAGGGTTGGGCAAGATATGGATCAGGTCTCAATACTGTGGCACTGCTAGGATGAGGGAGTGGTCACTGCTCTTCTTACACACACCCCTTGCAGAGGTGCCTGGGCTGTTCAGGAATGGCTTCTTACAAGCCTTTTTGCTTTGCCTGTCATTCTTAAGACAGTTAAATCTCCCTGCAGATCAGCAACAAGTTCGCTGATGTTGCAGAAATGATTGCTCCACCTTTGCTTTTGCATGTTTGCACTAACAGATTCATTACAAAAGAAAGACAGCAATGTCACAAGTGGGAAAACCTCTTGGTGGGTCACCTCAGGTAGGCATTTCCCTCTTTCTTTGGAGAGTTTACTGTCTGTCCCAATGGAATGTGACACCTCCATATGTTACATTGTCCTTGGGCACACTGCACCTGAATTCACAAATCAACCATTTGCAGCATATTAGTGTGCAATTAATTTATTGCTTGCAGACCTAACATGTAGTCCCCCTAAAGCTTATATGTGAACAGTGATTTTTCCAAATCTCATTTTTGCAGTAATATTAGGATTAACTAGAGCCTAGATCAGCTTACCCTTTTGCCATTTCTAGGCCACTTCTCAGAGTTATCAGAGGCTTTTCAATTTCAGGCCAGAATAGTTTGGAGGCGGCTAATGATGCTGGTGCTGACATGACAGAAGCAGTCAGTAGGTGGGAGGAGGAAACCTAGAATTCCAGGTGACAGAAAATACTCTGTGATAACCACAGAAAGTGCAAACACGAAGGAAAGCAATTAAAATTTTCAGACATTCAGATGATTTTTCTACAAGGGTTCATTAAAAAGTTCACATTGCTCATAAGGAAAAGAAGACAGGATTTTTGTGATTAGTGTCTTCAGAGAGGGACAAAAAGCCCAGTGGGAATGACGCAGGGATACTTTCAAAGCATTTTAGCTGAACTTCTATACTTAGAAGATTTTAGACAAATCATATATTTTCCAGTTCTTTTCCTCTGTCTTACCCCAAAAGAAATATATGCTCCTAAGACGCTTCCAGCAATAGTTGAGAATCCTGCTGTCATGACTGCGTGGAGTTCAGATTTGGTGATGTATGGTAAGTAGGGCCGCACTAGGAGAGGAGACTCTGTCTGGAAGTGAAAAACAAGCACCAAATTCAGAAATTCCCAATAAAAGGCCATAAATTTATTTTATTATCAGGGCAGAAAAATGAGCAGTGACGAATCACTGCTAAATATCATGCTAATATTGCTTTTGGGCTTGGATGCTACTTGGTGATCTTTCTACTTCACTTTGAACCCTGGGACAGACAATGTTGTAAATGTGGGTTTAATGGATTTCCTATTTAAGTGGTCTATTAAATGACACCTCCTGCTTTTGTGGCTAAGGCCTTGTACTGCTAGCACTGAATCCTAGGTTTCTGCATCGTCTTTCTCTCCTGTCCTTCCTGCCTTCCATGCCTTCTTTTCATCCCACTTGCCTTCTGAATTAAAAAAAAACCACCTGAAATTGTTATTCAATAATATTGTGTTATCATGTTTTTTCTATACTCCAACTCACCTGTCCCACAAATATGTTACCCGCAGCTACCAGAGACTCAACAGGCGTTGTCCCCATGAAAACGTGCATAATCCAACCAACCTAAAATGGTTGAAAAAAAGAAATATAAAGTTAATCTGCCTATTCCATGCACTTCTAGAGTTAATCATATCAATCTAAGACTTCTGAGATATGTTATGATATTTCCAGGCTAAAGGTAACAACTGTTTTTCATGTCTGAGCAGCTTGGCCAGGGTCAATCCTACAGTTCCTCTGCATGTGTTCAAAAAATGTCCCACAGTAGCCAAATGAGTACCTACTGGCAAAAATTCATACCTTTCCAATGAGCCACTGCATGAATCCAATGTGGTAAAGAATAGACATTACTGTGCTGAAGAAAACCACAATGGGCAGTACCTGATTTGGAGACACAAAATCATTAACACTTTTAGAGTGGTTTCCTTTCCTTGATTCTGTGGGTTATTTGATTTTTGAAAAAGTGGGTCATGTTTTCAAAATGTTCTTACAGTTATGGAAAACTTGTCATTTAGCTTACACATATGCCATAAAATTGTTAACCTTCTAGACTTGTTGTATGTGCTGGAATTAACTAATTTTCATTTATACATAGTTTTTTAACAGTGCTGCAATAGTTTTGAAACTGTTCGATTTAACATGATATACATTAGTTTATAGCCATGTTTAGGTAAGTCCAAGCATTACTTGGCAATAGCATTAACAAAGACTTTGATATATAAAAATTCTATTTTGAAAACCATTAACAGAAATATGTACAATGGTACTGTACTGTAGAATTCAGAGCTCTATTTCTCATAGCATCATAGAACGTTAAGAGTTGGAAGGTAACTTAAAGATCATCTAGTGCATGGATAACATGGGGGATGCTGGGAAGAAGAAGCATGTGTTTGCAAAGAGACCACCAAAAGCCATTTTAAGACATGTTTAAACAACAGTTTTTTCCTATATAATGCAGGTTTAGTGCCACATATCACCCGTTTTTATTCCTTAAAGCTGAATATGCTTTTATTGATATATGGATTTTAAATTTACCCTATTCTCTTAGGTGTCTGAGGGTGTCCCTACAAAACAGAATTTAAAAAGATTTTATTGATGTATTTATAAACAAGTTTTTGACTTGCACAATCTTTCAATTTACTGCTGAACCAAACAAACTACTTATTGTTATTAATTTAGTTTCATTAGAGTCCAAATGGTTCTTTTCTTCTGTTTCTCGGAGGCAGTCCTGGCGTCTGCAAAAAGGTAAAAGCCATTTTAAAAACTGTTTAAGCCACCTTAAAAACTTTGGTTTCTATAGCATTTGAACTGTTTTCATTTTCTTCACTAGTCCATCTCTGACAGGACTTCTTCCATCCTGCATATGGCAAATCCATTGCCACAATCTAGTCCCAGCCATCCCTCCCATGGGTAGGGACACCTCCCACTAGACCAGGTTGCTCAAGGCCTTATCTAACCTGGCTTTGAGTACTGCCAGGGTTGAAACATTTGCAACCTACCTGAGCAACCTGTTACAGTATCTCACTACCCTCACAGTAACAAATTTCTTCCTAATATTATCTAACCTAAATTTCCTGTCTTTCAAATTGTACCCATTACTCTTTGTCCTATCATTACAGTTCCTGACAAAGAGTCTCTCTTCAGCTTCCTTGTTTTTCCCCTTCAGATACTAGAATGTTGCCATGAAATCTGCATGTAACCTTCTCTTCTCCAGGCAGAACAGCCCCAACTTTCTCAGCCTATCTTTGTAGGGGAGGTGCTCCAGTCCTTTTATCAACTTCATGACTTTCCCCTCCATTGGTTCCAACAGTTCCATGTCCTTCTTATGTTGGGGACATCAGAAATGAATGCAGTACTCCAACTGAGGTCTCACAAGAGTAGAGTAGATGGGGAGAATTACCTACCTCCACACACTGGCCATGCTCCTTTTGATGAAGCCAAGGGTTCAGTTGGCCTTCTGGGGTGTGAGTGCACATTGCCAGGTCATGCTGAATTTTTCATCAACCATCACCCCACCCCACCCCAACCATCATCTCTATATCTGTGTTTTAAGAAGCACAGTTTAGATTGCTGTGTAAGCAAAAGTTGAAGAGGTTTCAATTGGAATTGTAATTGACTTGATTTCATAGAATCAAAGGCAGCTTCCTTAGCCTGTGTAGATGCCTTTCAATAAAAGATTACAGAAAAATCCTCTTTTATTCTGTGGTATTTACACTATTCGCTATAATGCCAATGTGGAATATTCAAGAACTCTCTAACTGTACACAGAGATAGAATCTGCTTAAAGGTATATACTTCCCAAATACAAAAAGTGAATACAAATTTCTTTCATTGGAGACTGAAGGAAAAATGTTTCCCTTCAACATATAATTTAAAAGAATCATATGAATGTCTAACCCACTGTCTGATGGGTTATTAAATGTATTGGATTTTCATTCTGAATAAAACTCGTATTACAGGACCTCACCACTGCTATGCTGCTATACAGCGGGAAGAAAAATCCCCCCAAAAGATCCAAAATTAGTCAGACAGATTAGTTACAATTAGAACAGTACCACTAGGACTAAGAAGCTTTCATTTTTGTTCACTAATGACATAATGCATTTAACATAAAATCAAGTAATAGAATCAAAAAAAGCAAACCATTTTGTTATTTCAGAACTTCACAGTAAATAGAAGCTGTGCCTTTCTAGAGAAGAGTTGGTACTATCAACAATCTTGACAAACTTTTGGAAACTCGATTTAGATGATCAGAACCTTTCATTGAAAGGATGGAGTGCAATTAACCGCTATTGCTGTGCTGTTCAATAAGTTAATAAAAGACTCCTTTCTCTAGTCTCTGATCCTTTTTGCAATCCTCTCAGGATAGTTTGTCATGCAGTAATAGCAGAAAGTTTAGTGTAGTAAAAGTAACATCTTTCTCCCTTGCCTTTTCTCTTCTGCCATTTCCCTTCATTGTTTCTAGGCCTGTGCTAGCCAAAGAGGCATCTCGCTCCCAGCCAGATCCATATCCTGGCACAATGTGTGTATCCTGATGCAATGTGTGTATTGAAATGGGTCTGGAGAAACAGCAGGCAGATAGGCAAAGGTCAACTCTCTCTAGTAGATTGACGGCAAAAATTGTGAGTGACCTCCCATCTTTCAAGCTAAATGGACAGCAAAAGCTCTCTAGTTTGAGAGCTGTGGTTTTGTTTCGGCGGAAGGGGAGAGAACACAATGTTCTGCCAACACTGAGTGACAGCTGGCATCCTTTGGTCTTCTCCACATTCCTCTGAAAATATTTTAGATAACATTAGAACACGCTTTTCCAGTTTTGTGGTTGGAGTCATTCCTGGATAAAACACTTGTCTATAAAACACGAAGTCTACCCCAAAGTTATGAGTACTCTGAACAGGGGCTCACGATGGGGTTGTCTTCCACTTGCTACTCCCATGAAAAAATTCACATTTAGTTTGCATCTACACACACCATTACAACCTGCAGGTAAAGACAGCTGTCAACTTTGAGAGAAAATGAGGAGAGAACTGCAAAAAGAAAATATGACCAGGAAGTCAGATGGACCTTAATTGTAGCAGAAGCCGACTCCAAAAGGTCTAGCACATTTCTCTACGGGTCCTGTAGTTTAGTTATAACTGCATGCTTAAAATTTTACAATTACATTTTTCTCTGTGAACAAACTCATGTGGAAGTTTAGTCTTCAGTATGTACAGCTCCTGATATTTACCTTTAAATAGTCAAGTTTTAATGGATGAATACATTTAATGAGCACTCTGAAAAATTGCACAGCCTTTCAATGGAGAATGGTAATCAAAGAGCTCTTTAGAATTACATTTATGTGACCTACAAATGTTGCAGTTTATGCTTTCCAAAATACAACCTCTAAGAAAATAAATTCTTTAATTGGTATGTTTTATGAACTGGATTATTTCCTGTTTATTGTCAATTCTGCAATAAGATTTGACTTTACTAAAGAGTTACTTTCCAGATCATGATTACAATGAATGTTACATGGAGAGCAGGGAGTTAAAACTGGTGGCTGCTTTCAAATCCCCCTCCCATTTGTGGCTTGGTGTTCGTCTTTTTCTTACTTTCCTTAAAAGAAGAAGTTACTAGTGTTGTTTAAGGAACATCCTGCTTTCATACACTCCTAAAACTTGACCTTCAAAGAAAAGCCTTTCTCAGGGAGCCATAATCCTCCTGGTGCAGAAAGGAAGTTTATTTCCTGCTTGCTCGAAGCAAACTTTACCTTTCATAGTCAACAGGATAGATGACTTAATACTAAGAGGTTTTTTTCCAACTGCTTAAGTACTTGGGTGTGCTTGGTTATGGGGGCAAGCGTGGGTTTTTTTCAGAACTCTGAAACTCTGTGTCTGCATTCACAAATATCCGTTTAAAATAACCCAGTTTATACATGTGAATACATGCATTTATGACTAATTAGTGCTTCCAGAACGAGGTACTCAAAGTTTCTAGTGGTGCTGGCCTGAACACCCATACAGGTGTGCATATGCACATATGGGCTGTGTCTGCTCTGGTAACAATGTCCACCTAAGTTAGCAAAAAAATGATATGTCCCTGCATACTGTTAAGGATGCAGTATGGATACAATTGGACGCTGACAGTTTTCTGCGAAGACATGCCCTATCCCTTGTCTACTCTCTCAAGAGCTAAGCCAATACTGAGACATTTCTTTTTTGAAGGATGCTTTGAAATATCTTGTGGCAAGATTTGGAGAGCTCAACAGTAACATGCAAACCTCATAAAATATCTGAAAGACACAAAAAAAGCACTTTGGACCATCTTAATGTGTAAATAAATGAAAAGTGTTTCAAGAGAGAATAGGCTGGCTGTCACTCACTGTCACTGGAAGAGAGAATTCCCTTTCTACAGAAGAAGCAGGTGGAGGATGTTTTGGTATTACTGTGCACTTGTCTGCCACTCTGTTTACCATATATATATTCCTAGACATATGCAGCTCTGAAAATCAACTCATGAGTTTTGTTTTCTTGGTGTTTTTCAGTGTGAAAATAACCTGCTTGTTCCTGTTACCCTCTTCTAGATATTCCACACCTTTTGTTGGCTTGAACCATAGAATAAGACTGATGGATATTTGCATACACAGAAGCAAACTTTTGGCTGGCTGGTCTCTAGTTATGGCTTTAGTCAGCAAAGTATTTTACATCACCACTGAGGCACTAAAAATCACCTTGAAATAATCATATTTATAAAGCATTGTTGAAAACCACAGGAAAAATAACATGAGAGGTGGGAATTAAATAATTTCACCCCTAAAATATGTAATTGGGAACACAAATTGTTATTTGAGTGCTCAATAGAGTAAAGGTGAGACAAGCCTAGAAAGTGAAATGAAAGGTTTCACTTTAATATTTAAAAAAATATTGAACTTCAAACACAACTTATATTTATAGATGAAATTATTCATTTTTTTTTCACCACTAAGATGTTCCAACTATTCTTAGTAGCAACCTATTTTACTGATAGCCCCTTCTTTAGTGTTTCTACAGACAGCGCCTACAGATAGCACCTTCATTCTCAAGTAGTGAAAGAACTAAATTTGAAGATTATCTAGTTTGGAATATCACCTCAAGAAAAAAAGAAGATGAAAGGCATGTAAGCCCATGGTCAGGTCTCTGAAACATCAAAAGAATGATCTCTGAGTAAGTATTGATTCATTTCTCGTGTTTGTTTGGGAGTTTTTTTGCTTGTTTTTTATTGGGGTTGGTTTGAGGTTTTTTTGCTTTATATGCTTTTGATTCCAGCCTAAGCAGGTATTATGGCATGGGCTACTTCTTGAAGCAAAACCAGGAAGGATACTGGTGCAGATTAGAGAGCACAGAGCATACAAACTGTATTCCAGCAGTTTCCCAGCAAGGTCTTCTAAGGGAGAGAACTGGGAAATCTCCCTGGGATCTTACTAATGTAATAATAGCACAATGTAATGTAATTCTTCCTGGTTATGCATGAACAGCTTCTATCTCTTTTACCAGGTATATATAAATATATATCAAGGCTTTCCACTGTTGCAGGGGCAATGTCTGTAAGGTATTGGTCTAGCACTTTTACTCATGGAGAGGTGGGAAAGATAGGCAGGAGATAATATTTCTGTCAGTGGCCAGGTAAAGCCTTTTAAGCTATTCCTTGTAGAAAGATACCCCAGGGTTCTGTCTTCATGCAACTTATGTTGTTATAATTGGACTAAATAAGCGCAATCTAACTCAGTGTATAGCAGTAAATGAAAGGCTTCCTGTGGGCTTCTCAAATTTTCTATTCAGAATGTCACCTAGTAAGGAATCATTTTCCTCTTAGCTGATTCCTCTGGTGACTACGCAGGTACCACAAGACATATAATAAATTTATTTCCCAGCTATACTGTTCTTTTTCTGTTGTCTATCTGCCACATGCAGCGTGTATAAAAACTGTCTCACCTTAAAAGCGAAGAAATGATCCTTATATTTTTCACCAAACACAAACTTGGCACCTACGTCAGAGTACTCCAGAAAAGTCTAGGGACAGAAAGCAAAGGAAATTAGCGATAAGCTCTTGGAACCTGCCAAAAACTAAGCAGATATTGCTAGCTGTCTTGCAGAGATCTGATGAAGTCCAAGGAGCTTGTGTTCTGTATGAATCCAGGCCTCATTGACTATGTCTGGCTGAATTGAGGGCCTCTGACCTGCTCTAGTAAGAGTGCAGTCTCCTTCAGGGTAGATAGGCAAATGGCAAGGGCGTAGGGCACGAATTCCTTGAGTACCCAACACAACAGAGGCTATAAGGTAAACTAAAAGAAACATTTTTTCATCCCAACACTGTGGTACATTTTTATGCTCCATCATGCAAGTAAGTGCAAAAATGATACAGTTTAAAATAGAGATTTAATGGCTGAAGTAATGAGTTTTGGGAGGAGTACATAAAAGCTAACCTAAAGAAATCTACTTTTTAATTTAGATCCGGTGTTATGTTTTTATACTCCTGACACCAACATATGCATTAATGATACAGTTTAAACTGGAGTTAAAGTACAGTTTATAACAGCTATAGTAATGATTTCTGACAGGAGCAACCGTAAGCCATATGACATTAATGAAAGGGAGCACCAGAACTGCCTCAGTTAGAGACTGAGAACCTGGTGACAAAACCCGGATGACTCCCACTGCTTGCAGATTAGACAGACGTCAGACCTGTGCCTTTGCTTCCACAGAGAGACAGTACATTCTGCACTGTCTTGTTTTACATGTGCTTAATTACCTGTGAAGAGCAGCTGTGAGAATAGTATCCCTGGGGTGAAAAGTCTGAATGTCCTTCATTGGGTACTCTCTGATCTACATTTTGGATATTGCTTATTCATTACTTTACAGTAATAGGCTTTTTAAAAAAACTTTATGTCTGCAGGGATACCTACAGACAGATCTCATCCACTCTCTAGAGATATTTTTCTGCTTGCAGATGTGGATTTTGCCACCTGTACGTAGTTAAATTAATTTTCTTGTATATCACGAGGACTATGAAATGTCCCTCATACCAGGACTGCTGTTACTCTAAAGACAATAGTGGTTCTGTCTTAAACTTCAAGACTTTTCAGCATGTCACATTTATTTGCAAAGGTGCTTTGGAGTTGGGCCACATCTAAAGAGTTTCTATGAGTACCCTGGCACAATAGTGGTTTTATGTTTCAAGGATGCAAGTTTTAACTTCAAGGATGGTAAATCCATTAAGAAATGGGGTCATTCTGGCCATTACTCATCAGCCTGTCCCCCCCAGTCTTGTATTAACTGGACAAAAAAAATGAGAAAGTTGAATTTAAATAGTCAATTACCATTCTGAGAACCCAATCTTCCTTAAGAGAAGAAAATATTCAGGAGGGAACAGATTCTTGAACAGACTGACTGTTGTGTAAGAGTCTCAAGACAGAAAATTACAGTAAAAAAAGTAAGGATTTTGCCCAATAGCTTACCTGGATCTGAATGCCTAGCCAGTTAAATACATCAAAACCCACTTTGGTCCTCAGAATAAGAAGCCCAAGAATAAACTGCATTCCTATTCCTGAAAGTACTGGTCTCCAAGCAACCTAGATAGACAGAAAAATAAAGAAACTGTTTATTATTTAAATAAATAATAATTTACTTCAGACATTTATTAAAATAAGGCAAGGGGATTGTCTGACTATACTGCAGGATAGGAGCAGCTGCTAAATCAGGCTGTAATGGACTTGGATCTTCACATACCTGGACAGAGAATAAGGAGATTTTGTTACAGGGTTTGTCCTTGGGTAATTTCAACTCTGTTTCTGTTCCCCATCTTAAAAGACTTTTGATACTTGAGAACTACTCAGTCCTATATTGTGATTCATCATATAAAGGCAGTTGTAAGAAAAACTGGCTGCCTATGATGAGTTCCTCTTCGCTACACTGAAGATTCCTGCTCTGCTGCCTCAGAAAACATCTTTGGTTTGTGAAAATTTGGTCAAATTATTTACAAGACAAGGAGCTGAAATGGCATTCTAATTTACTCAGATTGTATTTGAATAATACAAATCAATTACGTGCAATGAGGACTCACGGGAGAGCACAATGCATTTGGAGTAGTTTGCACCTCAGCTGGAGATAGCAGCAGTTGCAGAGAATAGGACAGTTTCATTAGTCCTTGCTGAGAGGACTTCACCCTTTAAGGAAGTCTCAGCACTGATGTAAGAAGGGTGGAAAATGTCGGTGAAACTTCATGACCTGGACAGTGGATATATGACTAACAAAAGCATGAATTGGTATGTGAGGCATGCACACAGGAGTACAAGCTGAGGTGGGAGTTGTGGTGGTTGAACTAAGCCCTTTGCAATACCACAGCAGAACAGAGTGGTCATCTCTGATGGCATTGACCAGCCTATGGGAACAGGTGAGTGAGAAGTGAAGACCTCCACTTGGCCTCAGTTTTTGAGTCTGCAGTGGGAAGCAAACTTGTGAGGGATGAAGAGTTATACAAGGCAATCATATCTTCAGTTCCATGCAATTTGTGTTAATTAGTGTCCTCAAATAAGTACCTGTCATGTCCAGAGGACTGTGGTGAGGCTCCTGTGGGTGAAAATGTGGGGAAGGCCTACCTCTCCAGGAGCAAATGTGTTCCAACTGGCAACAGAGCTGGAATAAAAGATGGGCAGCAGCTTCCCAAAATAATGAGAGGCAGATGCTGGTACAGCCCCATACATGCTCACCAAGAGCAAGATTACTTGCGTCAGAAATTAAACACATCACTTGGTATGGGGCAAGCCTAAACTTTTACTTAGATTTTGGTAAGCATCTGTTACTCTTACTAAACTTGGTGCTAGGGTAGGGGAACAGGTTTTGAGACATTGAATAAAAAAATCCCAGAAGAGCCAACATAGACTAAATACTCACTCTGGTTGGATATTTGGAAAAGATAAGCATCAGGAGAACATACATCACAAGCCCACCAAAGGAGATTAGCTGGCGGGATCCCTGTTCCATTGTGTCAAAGATGAGCCAGCAGATGACAGTTATAATAAGAGCTGCACGCAACACCCTGGGGGAAAAAAGCGTCATGACATCCTGAAAAAGACCAGATATTCCTTTCCCTTCCCCTACCCACAACACTTACATTTCTGTTTGTGAATGAACTCTCTGTGCAATGTTGTAGACTGAAACATGTGACTGTACACAAGCGGGAATATGCCTTTGCTGATGCACCTCTAACAACAACATCACTTGGTAGCATCCCAAAGAATCGTCCTCCAATAGGGTTCCTCAAGCCAGAGTAAAAACCCAGAGGAAAACCCAATAAAGCACAAGTGACTCTTGCCTGGGTGTTATTTCTATTAAACGAAGTGTGATATCTTCCTCTCTCACTCCATCCTCCTCTTTTTTCCCTTCCTTCCTTTCCTTTGTTGAATCTTTCCTGAGCTCTGGGCAAGACAGGCTGTGGTTTTGACAAATTGCACTGTGCCATTTAACTGGCAAGTCTATGAAGAACACTGTCGAGGAGCAGGTTATAAATGGTTTATTTCTCTGTAACCAGATGTAGTCTGTTAAGCTATATCAGAAACAATGATGAGAGCCATGTGTACGTCTGTGTTTCAGTGTTTCTATGGTCCCTACTATCACAAAACCATGTTCAACTTATTTATTGAAGGTAATTACCACAACGACAGCCTGAAAGGCAGCAAAATACATCATCCCATATATAGGGGGAAAATAAACACAGTCCCAAGTTTTTAATGCTACTTTTGTCTAACAGTTAGCTTCCACTGATTTCAGAAATGGATACCCAAAATCCATTTTTAGACCTGGATTAAAAAACATTGCAGGCTAACTTCGCAAAATAGCTTGGTCATTGCAAAGCTGAGTAGCACTTTCTACACTTGAGAGATTTTCTGTCTCTTGAAGGAATATGGTTAAGTACTTAATCTGTGATATGGATTGCAGCCCAGGTAATACAGCACTTACTGCCCCCAGTTTGTTCCATCTTCTACCTGGAGCTCTCCTGTTCCTTTTGCTCCTTCCCCCAAAGAGGCTTCCAGATTGCCTAATGGAGATGTGCCTCTGTGACTGATCTCTAATGTGACTCCTGAGTAGAAGGATCACAATCTTTATAGCACCTTTCTGAGCAAAACCACTTTTAAATATTAAGAATAAGAAGGGACATTTTCCTGAACCGAGAATGACTCCACCTTAGAGTTCTTTCTCTCTCAGGTAGAAAGTAACCTAGCTGAAAGAGAATGCAGCTGGCCAATTTGCTTTTCCTTTTTAATGATATTTCATGTGGTCTTTTCTTCAGTCTACAAGGCTCCTTTGGCTCCTCATTTTCCCAGGGGTAACTTCAACATTCCTGGTATGTGCTCAGGAATACTTGAAATAAGCATCTACCAGATTTAATTATCTACCATTTATCTGCCAGATGAATGTCTACCATCCCAAATTAAGGTTATATGACCTTAATATGACACTGATTGTGGCTGGCATGTTTCGATTCCTGAAGGCCAACTAAAAATTGTTGTGGGGATACATGGAAAAACAGTGTCTAGGTAACACACTCCAGTCATTAGCAGTCTGCATATGTTAGAGTTAAGGTTTTTGTGAACCTAACAGTTCTCTGAACAAATGACAGTGAGGCACTTGCTGGCCTGCAGAGTGAATGCAACATACCTGAACTTCTGTGAATGTATTGTCTTCCAACTACAAACTTGTCCTTTCTCAATCTTTGGTATTTTTGTACACTTTATGTCAAGATTTTTGATACCTAATTACTGCAATTTAAACTTAAAGGTGTGTCTGATATCTATATACTGGAAAATATGAATTATTCTGTGATCTTATTGAAATTTGTATGATCAACCCATCTCCCTGTGGGTGTAAATTGAAATAAAACTATAGGAGTAACTTGACTAATGCGTTGTTCTACAAAAATAGAAAGTAATTAATATTTACCATTTCAGCCAAAACCACTGTTTTTTCAGATATCTTTCTCCAGGGGAAAAGAGTACAGTAATTTTGTCTTCATACTTAGCTATTAAAAAATCCCAGCAGATGAAGAATGTAGCCACAACAGTGATGATAAAGAGTGGCAAGGCTCTCTGAAATTTCAAGCTGCAGGCTGCAATAAGTATTGCCAAGTATGCTGTCACAGAAACAAGAATATACATATCCATTAGGTTGGTCTTTTTAAAAACAAATCATAAGGATCAAATCTTAAATTTATAGGATGTGATTAAAGTCAGGCCCATGTTGATCTTTTCAGTGCTTTTCTGACTCTTTGCTGACATACTGAAAAATTTCGCTTTTGTAAATGATGATGTAGTACACTCACAGTATGAAAGATGGCTTTCATTCTGTTAGAGAAAGTTATATGCTTTGGCCAAGTTCATATCAAACATATTAACCACTTGAGAAAATTAAATACAAAGAAAAACATGGAACCTCTTTTTCCTGTGTAAAAACTGTGAATTAAGAGCATGAGCCTCATTCCTTCTTTCGTAAGAGAATGAGTGTATCCAATAAAACTAGAAAAAAAACCCTAGAAATATGTAAATTGACTGATTCGATGGCCCTCTGAATTAAGGCTTAAAAGTAGTTTACTTCTTAAAAAAAGCTGTGAAATTATTTGTCGTTCGGCAGTCTCATTGTTGATATATGCTGGCCAAAGAAATATTCAGTTCTTGTAAATAATAATTTGATTTTGTCTATGGTAAATAAGGAAGAAAGACTACTGATTTGTGCAAGGCAAGTTGTTTTTTTGTGTAATTACTGTACATAACCCTGACATATCCTTAGCACTCACTTGTTCTCTTGAGCCATAACATGCCTGTACTATGACAAAGCAAGAAAAGCTGATGTTATGAGGGCAGCACGAAAACAGTGCTTTTATAACCACCTTCTGGTATGCTGGTGCCTACCTCACCAATGTGTTTCAGTTCTATATATTCTCAGTGGTAGTAGTAAGAATATCACAAAAACAAACTTGGTGAAACAAACCAATCTACTGTCTAATTAGGAAAGGGAGAAAGAAGAATATCTGAATGATTCTTCAGTGCATGCTGTCATAAACACATTTCCTCTGAAAAACATTTTTTGTGGATATTGAGTGATATGGGTCAGAAAAGAAAACTCCTACTGACTTAAGTTTAGTCCTGTTTGGTGCCTGACTCTTTTCTTTAATGTGATTTCATAGTTTTGGGCAAGTTCCTGAAACTGTAATTTTGGAGGCAGCTGGCAGTGGAATAGACATAAAGACTGAACTATCCTGCTATCACAAACGTAATTGTTAGTCAGAGTGGAAACATGCCAGAGGAGCAGTTTAGCAAGATTTGTGGGTTTTGTTTCGAAATGAGAGGAAGTTTTGCTGTCTGTTGTTTTTTTCTGGTACTAAATACACTTTTAATTCCTTTGAAATGCGTTTTTAAAGACAGACAAGAGTTTTTTGTGTCAGATAGAAGACAAGCATAGCCTATAATCTCATGGAGGCATATAAATAAAACTTCAGCAACCCTGAGTGTAATATATACTGTACCTGTCATTAAAATTCCACAGATCACATAGCAAATTCTGATTTTATGTTTCTTGTAAAAGTCACAGATTTTATCATAGTTCTTTTCTAATTGCCTAGAAAAATAGGAAAAAAATAATGAGGAACAGAAAATGTAAGCTTTTGCAGAAGAAAATTGGGTTAAGTTGGTCAAAATTTCTCCACTGCAGTTGGAACTTGTTAACGGTTAAATTTGGCTCCCCAGGTGCCAAATAAAATTGTGCCTTTTGAGCGAGACTTCTTTGGGTTGATGTTGGACAAGTAAAAAAGAAAATATGGCAGAAATCTAACTGGACAATCCGTTAATTACAATAGGCCAAAGTCAGCAGGCCAGTTCCACTAGCCCCTGATGTGCAGCAGTTCTGTGAAGGGGTCTGTTAAGGTAGGTACAGATTCTGGGCCCATTAGTAGACCCACGAAGTCTGTTAATACAACTGGCCCAGCACTACTATGTGGAGGAGTAGGGTTGCCACAACTGTAAAGGCCTAAGGCTGCATTTTTTGTGTAAAATAACCAATATCCACCTAAAACCTTATTACAGTGGGCATAGATGTTTCTGGATTTTTGAAAATTTGGTTGTGAATTACATTAACTTTTCACCTCATCAGCTCATGGAAGTTAAAATTATGTTATACTTGAACATCCTGCTCTAGTATCAGTTCTTCCAACTATTATGTATTTCACTTTCTTTATTTCCTCACCTCAATAAAGGTAACACAGAGTGATTTCATGAAGGAGGTTGAAATTTAGAGAAATAGCAGTTAATGGAGTTAATTCAACACAGATTTCCAGTTATAAGTATGCTGATGATACAGATGTATTTCAGTTACGAAAGCTGTAGCTACATAAACACCCTCATATTGTGCAAGCTGAAAAAGAAATCACAGCTGTACCTTTGTCATCTCAGAGGTACTGCTTTAGAAAGACATCTCTGAAGCAGTGCCTCACACCTTCATTCTATTAAAGCAACATTATATTTAGAAATACTAATTATCCAGACTCTACTTGTTTGGAAACTAGATGCAGCTGGAGTTAGATGCATACCGAAATTCAAAAATACCCTTCTTTTCTGCACTTTAAAAAAAATTGATTAAATTTAAATTAATTTTGGGTGAAATAAGTAATATTAATTTAATTCATATCAGCATTCAAAAGAATAGAGCAGGAACACTTGCTTTCAGCAGTAAAAGTGTTATATGATCTCTCAGAAATTGTGATTGCTTTTGATGTTTCAAGTTTAGTTCTGAGAATTCCTGTTGCTTCATAAATCACAGTATCTTTTTTTTTTAACTTCTAAGAACATTAGGTTATCTATCCAATCTCAGCAGAGAGGTTAGACACAACAGAAAAAGAGAAAAAGGAGAAATGAGAGATAGATGTATGAAAAAGCCAATTACTTTATGAAATGTATGACTCATTTATCAACCAAGAGAAAAAAAATATCTACTATCTGTTACTGCTACTTATGAGTCCTTTGGGATTTAAAATTGTTACTTTCAGATTACAATTTCTTGTAATCTCTAATTCATTTTAATATATCTACTTTTTGTTTTATTAATTTAGGCTATTATCACTTCGGTGCCAAAAGATCTTAAATATCCAGACATATGTCATAAATATGCAGCTCCCTTCTGAAAGAAGACAGAAAAAAATCTTCCTCATGAAATCTGGTTAATTTACTAAGGAAACATTATTTCCTAAAAGCTGATCCTAGAGTCTTGAAATGCAGCACATTGCTGATGGCTTTCACTTAACTGAAGATGTTGAAAAAACAGATCTCACTTAAGCACATTAGTATGAAATATTTGCATATGCCAAAACTATTCTCGTTTGCATTTTGCAACTCAGAAATCTATTTTCTATTGCACATGTACTCCAGAAGTGAATGTTAACACCTTGTACTTGTAGTGAATCATTATCAATAGACTGATCTTTCAAAGGGTCTGTCTCAGACCACAGGCTATTCAGTACTATCTGTCATTGAAAGAAGACAATAACACAAATGACGATTCAGCATGACAGAAAAAAAAATACAAGAAAACTACATTAAAATAAAATTTTAAATTTTTTTTTTCCTAAAGATGTTTTTTTTTTTTAAAAAAAAAAAAAAAAAAAAGGCAAAAAACCAAAAAACCTAATCCTCGAGTAAAATGTAGATGTATGTTTTTGCTCTGTGGTCACTTGGAAACAGTGCAAAGGAAGTGTAATAATTTTGCTCCATCAAAATGGCTTTTTCCACAGCTGTTCTGTTTTTATTTTGCATGAGGGTAAATGACTATGCAAACTGAAAGACAAGAGTGAATCTTTAACTTTCTGAAAGAGACTGCTGTTTAACAGTGTTTTAAAGAGACCTTACTTTAAAAAAACTGTTATGGAAATGCTGGAAAAGTAGTTATTGCACGAAAATTAAAAATACTGCTCCTTTAATTTGCAAAGCTTTAAAAGAATAATTCCATAATCACCCACGTCAGTTGTAAGGTATAATAATTTTAAACATGCTGTGTTCCTGTATTACACAAATTGCTAGGTGATACAAACATCTATGCAGCATAGGGGTATGGCAGTGAAATTTAGAGCTGCCACTCCAGAAGCAGAAACACTAGCAGCTTTTTGCTTAGGCCAGGATGAAGTGAGTGCAAAACTTACTCATTTGTAATGCATACCCTTTCAAGCGTGGTTGCTCATCATCTACTGAGGCACATTTGTTTTCAAGCAGATCACTCTCAATATTGATGTATTCATCCCCCTGGAAAACAGATCCGTCCTGAGGTTGTGAGAAGGGTGCATGCTTGTTAAACAAGGTATAAAAAACATCCCAACTGCCACATTGCTGAAGCAGTTTCAAGTTTCTAGTGTGCACTGTGTGCATGGCTCCAGCTCTCCTGTCTGCCACCAACTCTGTGACCAGTATCAGGCAAACCTAGTGTTTAGACTAGCTGTGAACGTTCTCAAACCATCTGCACCATTTTCAAAAGGGAAATAAAAGGGGGAAGACATACCAGTATAACTCAGAGCTGAAGAGGGTGGGGTCCCATACAGAGTACGACTGCAGAGAGGCAAAAAGCAAAAGCTGCAGAGCAGCAGGTAGGGACAGCAGAGCTGCTATTTAGCCAGCTTGCCCAGCACCTCATGTAGACATTCCAAACTTCAATACAGATGGAACTTTTGTGTAGAGATAATGGTTAAATTGAGGGAAGTTTACTGTTTAAAAAATTTAACTAAGTGAAGAGATTTACTCTTAAGAAAAGCTGCTCTGAAAGGATAATAACTAACAATCTTTTAAAGAGAGCTATCATCCACAGGCTTTGTAGCAGAAACACAAAATTTGGCCAGATAGTGCACTTTCATTTGGAAAATAGATTTTTGCTATCTGAATCCACGTAAGCCTGACCATGTTATAGCTTTTGAGCGACTACAGGCTGACATCCACCCTGTTTGAAGACTGTCTTGAGGTCGCCAGGAGTAGCACAACCCCCCCAAGCTCCTTGGCACACCCATGGGGGCTGCCATGCCCACACTACATTACTTCCACCATCACTGTCCAGCAGAGCACAGGGAAAGCCCCTGTCCCACAGCTACGTCCCTCCATGCTCATGGTGGGGCCTGTGGAGGGGCTGATGACCCAAGGTAGGTGACTATTGCATTCAGACAGTCTTGTACCCAGTTGGGCCCTGGGTGCCACGCTCGCCCCTCCTCCTTTGAATGCTATGGCAGGGCAGCATGACCAGCTGCTTGCCCCGCAGTGCCCGGCCAGCACCGGGGTGCCTGATCGAGTGGACATGTTCTGCCCTCTTGAGAGGAGTGGCCCACAGTACCCCCAGCCACTTTTGAAACAGTGGCAATCTGCAAGTAGGTTTACCTTTTCTTTTTCTGTCACTGTTGTTTCTAATTCCATCCCCCAATCTGCTGTGGAAAGCAAGGCCCACCACAGACCTTGCCCTGGCCCCTGCATTCTGTCTGGATTTCCTGCTGCAGGGGCTGCCGGAAGTCCTGGAAAGCCCTCAGATAGTTGCTAGGAAAAGAATTGAACCACAGTCTTAGAAGAACCTGTGTTAGAAGGGACCACAAGATCATCTAGTTCCAACCTCCCTGCTGTGGGGAGGGACACCTTCCACTAGATCAGATTGCTCAAAGTTTCAGTCAGCTTGGCCTTGAGCACCTCTGGGAATGGGGCATCCACAACTTCTCTGGGCAAAGTGTTCCAGTGCCTCACCACCCTCACAGTAAATAATTTCTTCCCGATACCTCATCTAAACCCACCCTTCTTCATTGTGCTATCATTACCCTTATGAACAGTTGTTCTCCCCCATTTTTTTAGAAGCCCTGTTTAAGCGCAGAAAGGCCGCACTGGAATCTTCCCAATGCCTTCTCTTCTCCCAGCTGAACAACCCCATCACTGTCAGTCTGTCAAATGTCTTCAGACTTTGAATGATCTGAAACATGGAGAGAGTGGAGCAGTGTGTGTGGAAGGTGCTGTTCATTCCCCTAGGCAAAGCTGAGCCTGACACGAAGAGGAGTCTCTTGCTCCTCTTGACTGCAGTTTTTGGAGGGGTGTGTGTGGAAGAGTTGTGTAGCTCTGTGAAGCTGCACTGATACTTATGGTTGATTTTTGCTATACTCTCTTTCTCTCTTTCATCTTGACTGTGAGATAAAGCAAACCTGAAAAATGCCTACTAAGTTGCTATTATTTTTAGTAACTGGCAGTAACTCTTCTCAGTGGTTGCAGGAATTAGGCTTGTCACCTGAGGGACAAAGAGTGCTGATAGTATGTAAATATCATTTATTCCTGGGCTTAAGTTTGAGGTTTGTTGCATAGAAGTGTTTCTCTCAAATTTTTGAACCTACATTAAAAACCAGGAGAGTCCCATCCCTCTGTGTTGAAGAACCATGCTTTCACATTTGCGGACATCTATACTCTCTTTGGCACTATGTCCACTCTCCCAGTCACAGCCTGAAGCTCATGTCCTCCAGGTATTTTCTTTGTCCCTACCACCATCCCCAGTGCCCCTACTTCACATGCTGACCAGGCCAGACCATGCTCCCCCATCACTTTCCCCCATGCCACTGCATACTCCCTGGGCTTGGATCACCCACAGTCTGGGCTCTGGCTCTTTGACTTTGTGAAATATATGGTTTGTCTTGAGAATATAACCTAATTTTCAAGTATTTCAATTAAAAAAAATCAACCCAAATATTTTCACATTTTTTACAATGTATTTAAATACGCTCAGAATATTATTATGTCACTATTTTACTGTCACAAATACTTTCCTACATTGACACTAAAAGGTGTTAAGAAAATCTGAAATAAAAGACGACTTTGTGTGAAACTGGGCAGATACACAAGGAAAATGGAGAATGAATCCAAACCCCTTTTCTTCTTCTGTTTTTTTATCATGGACAAACATAATATCAGATCTGGCTCTTGGTGAGTGTTGGCCCTTGCTGAGGGTAACCCAAGGGCTTTGTGGAGCTTATGGACTTCTGCCAGCTAGGCTTGAGTAAAATCCATACGCTGCAGACCCCCAAAATAAATTTTTATGCATCAGTCACAGTATGCCTGCAAAAGTGTCAGTGTGGGTATACTCATCTCTGCTAAACTTTCACCAAGTAGAGGCTGAGTGCTTTCAGATGGAGTCTTTCAGTTGGAAATTGGTTTTTCTGATAAAAATCAAGTTTCATTGACTGCCACTACTTTTCTCCAATTTTCTACAGTTTCAATCAATTCTGAAAGTCCTTTTTTTTCTTTTTGTTTTAAAAATTTCCTTTTTTTCTGGTTTTTTTTTGAAGAGAAAATTATAGGCATCGTCTACAACCTTTCTCTCCTAGGATCTCAGATCCCAGTCTAGTTCCCAGGACTGCATATCAGAACACTCCAAGTGATCCTTTCTACTACTGTATATCTGGAATTACTTTAACTTTGAAATCAGGGGCATTACTTTGGCAGTATGCTTTTGCTGCCTCTGATTATAGCCAGAAAAAACAATGGAAGATAGAAATGACTACCACTGCATCAGGTATTTCTTATGTGCTCATTCAAGTACCATCACCAAAATTGTCAAGTAAATATGATTACAACATAATGGAACATTTAGAATAGAAGTTTATTTCTGAACTGTGGATATGAAAATGTTAATACTAGACTCTAGTGAAACACCTGTGGGTTTTTTTAACCTGACTCTCATGTTTTCATAGTGAGCTACTCACTGTCTGGGCTTAAACAAACATACAGTCAAAAGAAGACAAAATGAATATGTTTATTATTAAAGTAATCTGTAATGTGGTTTTTTCTTCCTTCTCTGGTCAGTTTTACATTGGAGCTATTGCCCCAAGTTTATGTTTGTCTGAAATTTCCCCTATTTTGGATGTTAATTTAATAATTAAATATTACTGAATTTATTATTAAATATTTAATAAAATGTATTCTCTGTCAGACTGATTGTATCACTAAACCCATTGTTTAAAGATTCTCCTTTTCTATCTTCTCATGAGAAAATGGTTCTATGTCAACTCCATGTCCACAGTATTCCCTCTGACTGCCATTTCTCATGCCTCTTTTCTATCTTGCATGAAGCCATTATGACAAAAGAATACATTTTTTCTGAACCCTATACATCCTGATATTTTAACATGTTTTTACTTAGATGTATTTTTGAGAACAGAACTCACTTCTCTGTCAGTTTATACACTTCAAATGAAGTTCAAATTTTGTTAAAATATTTGTCTTGGTTGTGCTATCACAGCCAATTACTGACATTGAATTTTAGGTCTGTGAACTTACATAAAGTTATTTGGGGAAAAAAAAAAAAAAAGAAAGAAAGAAAAAACCATACCTGATTAGTGTGTCCTGTTCTCTTATTTTGTGAATTCTTGATTTTCTGTGAACTGTCTCCGAGGCCTTTCAGGTTTGTAGCATCCACACTTTCACTGTCATTCTAGAACATGACAAGACCAGAAATTGTGTTGGCTCAAATCAGAAGCTGAAAGCCTTTCTCATATATGGTAGGAAATGCTCTGATGCCTGTACTTCCAAATGAACAAGTGAATAGATGACAGTAAATGGCCTCAAGTTGTACCAGCAGAGGTTTAGATTAAATACTGGGAAATATTTCTTTGCTGAAAGGGTGGTCAGGCACTGCAACAGGCTGCCCAGGGAAGTGGTGGAATGATCAGGCCTGAAGCATTCCAAAAACCTGTAGATGTGGCACTTTGGGGTCGTGGTTAAGTGGTGAAAAGGGTGGAGCTAGATTAATGGTTGGACTTGATAATCTCAGAGGTCTTTTACAATCTAAATGATTCTACAATTCTGTGTATTTCTTTACTAGTACAGGGAGCCCAAAACTCGGTGTACAGAGCTTGACTCTTCCAGTCCCTGCACTATTGCACAAAGCTGCAACAGTCATGGATGGTGCTCAGCTAATGGGTATCTGCTGTTTTCTTGACTAAACTCACATGTCCTCGGGCTGCTGCCCTTTGTCTCAGAACTGGTTCAACAGGTTAACAAAGATCCAGCCTTCCTCCTCACCAAGAGCAAAATGGACTATTTGGGCCTTTCCTGGTTGTTAGTACCTTTGCTCCAGTATATATACGCCTTATGCACATGCAGACATGTGTATTTTTAAAAAAATATGTACTTCTATTGCTCTTGGAATAAAATGCTCAGGGTGTCTTTAGTGAGAGGAGTTAGCTTTACTGCATTAATCCTCTGAGGTATAGCTTTTATCAGAGTATACTGAGATAGCCATAACCAGTTCCACTATTTCTAATTTTTTTTAAAATAAATTCTGAAGGTGAGTTTTCTTGTTTCTTAATGTTATGAAGGATCCATTATCTCTGTTTAATGGTCCTTAAAGGTCTAGTTCTTATTTTGGTTTTATAAGAAAGCTGCTTAAACAAAATATCAGGTTATGAATGTTTTATATTTCAGTGATTCCTTATGGCAGCAGTTACAGTACAGCCATGTCACTGGGTTTTATTGCACTAACTATCTCATTATTTGCATTTAGCCTTAAAATAAAACAATCACTTCCAAATGAACAACACAAAATAAGCATAATTATAGTAAATTATGATAAAGGCAGGAACAAGCAGTACTACTAAAAATAAATTGAATTTTCCCTTTTAGTAGACACATGACCTTAGAAACAACTGGAACACTGTTCAGTAACATATTTTCCTTAAAGTCACTTTGACTGTAAACCTGATAAAAAAACCCCTGTTTCAGTAAAAGTTGTTCTGTAACCTTGTGTGTCTGGGGGAGAGAGGAGTCACAATTCATGTGTTGTGGCCTTGATACATTAGTTCCCTTCCAAGAGAAGAGTATGTTTTCATTCCCTTAACAGGGAGGTATTTCTTTTTTTGTTGTTTGCCTTCTAACCGTGCTGTCACAGGAGTTTTCTGTAGTTGCCCCTGCAGTTGACAACGAAAGCATCTACTGAATACTGCATACAAGGGGAAAAAAAATAGTCAAAAGAAGCAGTGATTAACTGTAGCATTGAGAAATAATATATTAAAAATACTACAGGACAGTGTAGTGAAGTCAAAGTGGTATGGTTCTGTGTAACTGACACACGTGCTTCTGGGAATAGTCTCTGAAGATTTCTACATTTCTTGCTGAGCAAGAAAAAGTAGAGATTTCTTGGGACTTTTGTCCGTGAACATGTGGAAAACAATAAGCATGCGAGTTGCTGTCTATGAACTACAAAAGTGCAGAATAATTTGCATTTGGATAAATCTCTAGAAGTCACTTTGTCCAAAGCACCATTCAGCTGCAATAGTTACATAAGAGTTTAATTAATATTTTAGGCCACAACTGAAGAATTACAGAATTGATCCATCTATTTTAAATGTTTATAATATGAAAATTGGTATGAAGTAAGTGCTTCTGCTTTCATACACTGCTTTACTTTTCCTGACTGGAATTCCCCTCTTGCAGAATATTAGAGAGCAAGAGCATTGCCGTGTAAGTGAAGCACTCCTTCAATGTTTGTTTAGTTCCCTCATGTTGAGCTGTTCATTTACCAAGTCTTTTTGCATGACCACATTCATTGCCCTTCCCTGCCATCATCCCCAACTTTCAAAGGAGGATGGGTTCTGCAAAGAGCTAATAACTTCCATCGTTGTGCTTTTAACAAGAGCAGACACCCTAGAGTAGGTGGGTCTTTTCCACTCTGGAGTAGATGTTTCACTATAGAGTGAAAAAACTCTCTAGAGTAGGTGTTTTGTCTCTCATGTTAGTTAGTGATGAAAACAGATTGGCCATCAGTGCATGCAGGCAGGTGCTTAAACTGTTTATGGTTTAAGGGTAGACAATTACATGATGTTGGAGATCAGAATCAGAATATTTACAGAACTCGGTGGAAAACAGACACTTCAAAAACAAATGGTTTAATGTTGGGGTTTGTTGCATTTCATCAGATTTTTAATTGTATTCAGCTAGCTGAAATGAAGCCATCTGATCTACAGTTCAAAACTTGCTTTTCTTTAAATATTCTGAACTGAAGATCATTTATCTAAGCTTTTCTTAACGTACCATCTTTTGCTAGCCAGTGTCATGATTCTGAAGGAGTTAAAATGCATTTTAAATGTGGAGGAACAATTTTTTTCTATCAATAATCATAGCACTCATAATTTCCTGTCCAATGATAAAATTCTTTGTACCTGTGTACAGGGCAGGAGGATGAATGTTCATTATTAGTGTACTAAACTACAGTAAATGAGCTGCAGATACAGGAGATAGGAAACATATACTGACAGATTTAAATTTAGAAGGCTGAATCTTCATGGGGTATTTCGAAAAGGGTTGTGAATAAGACTCCCCACCTCTGAGCACATTGGTGTTTTTTTAAAAAATTTAAGTTGTTAGTCATGGATAGGAGAGTTGGATAGCATCCTAAAATGCAAGGTTTTTTTTAAAAAACAAGCGTGGCTTTGAAAAGCGTGTTTTGCAAACGTGGAAAAAGACTGCATAAATTCCTGTCTGGATCTGATGAAGTAATGCAGTGTAACACCTTCATCATTTCCAAGGGAAATTACAAAAATTACATGAAACATGAATTCTTAATAGTGCCTATAGTCTTAATTAACAAACCAGATAAGAGTATTTAGGAAGTAGTGGAAAATGGTGCAAACACAGAAACAAATGGTAATTTTTAGGATTCATTTTAAGCTTGTTGGAATGAAATGGAGTACAAATACTGCATGTGTTATGACAATAAGAATGTCCTATGCAATATGAGTAAAAGGCAGAATTTTAAAGAGGATCCTTCCTCATATCAGCTTCTTAAGAGCATAGTGTGCTCAGCTATAGACATTAGTACAGATTGCTTATTGCATCATAACACTGACAATAGGAGGCCAGTGAAAAATAAATATTTATTACCTGTTACCTTTACTTTGCATTGTATTCATTCTGTTTACATCCGCATTGTTTTCAAATGTAGGGGAGTTTATTCATCCCACCTACCTTTCTTTTTTATAAGGCAGCTTTTGTCATTCCTCGAGGAGTAAGTATTACTTGATGTTTAAAGTTACCAGAGATTTGAATCATCAGAACTGATTATATAATTTTTTTCCCTTTTAAATGAGGATTAAATAGAAGCTAGGTGAATCCAGTCTCAGTTTTAGGGTTATTGTTAGTGTTGCAGGGTTTCTGAGAAGGAGTTCTGTGGACAACTGAAGCAGTGCTCCAGCCAGTGCCATCAGAGAGAAGTTAACTAAACCTTGTTGAAAGCAAGAGACACAATAGTGCTTCCACACATTATGTGTGACATTATGGTAGCTATAGATGCACGATGAAATACATCAGCAGGTAGACACTTAACATAGTCAATTTTCTGAATTGAGGATAATGATTTAGGTTCCTTAAGTTGCACGACATTTTTAAGGGAAAAATATTAACAACCTGAATGTCTCATTACAAACACTGCAGCGATCTGTTGATTCTAGCTATGAGGTTGCATCCAAAGCAAGTAACTTTAGCATGTGGGTCTTAAAAAGTGTGTTATGTTATGTTGCACTGAAGGATAGGAGCATGCTAGGGAAGACTGGCAGTGTGGGTAGAGTTATGTATCCCCTTAAAACCAATATAAGAAGCTTACTCATTGTAATTCACCCAAATGGCTGTTAGTAACTAAGATGTCCCTAATATCAAAGAGAGAGAGAAAACAAGAGGTACAGAGCTGTACATTTAGGCTTCATTTTCTATCTTGAGACAATTTTGAGCTGCTAATAAGAGGAAAGTTTACTTCTGGGTCTCCCAGGTACAGGCATTATCACAAGGCAATAACGCAGGACATGTAGACTTTGATGTTAGTTCAAGTGGAAACTCCATCATGTACAAAAGAAGTAGGTGACATTTTGCAGGATTGTGCATTTTTGAAAATGTAATTAGTGGTATTAATATAACTTTATTCTACAGTATTTATATCCTGTCTGAGAATTAACATTGGGTAATTTCTGGGGGAGTACCATTGGAAAGGGTGATGCCGTGAAATACTTCTGTGATACAAAAGTCTATCAGATTAGAGAAGGATGTGTGTGTTTGCTGTATCAATAGCAAACGTGAAATTGAGAAGGTCTTATAGTTACACTCCCTTCGACCACTTCTATGACAAATCACAAGGCATATTGCTCTATATTACAATCCCTTCATGCCGTTAAGGGTCCCTCCACAACAGAAAGAACTATGTTTCTCATTCTTGATTTAATAAACCTCTGATATGATCCTTCATTCATCACTTGTTAGCCTTGAGCTGCTTAGTATTGAGAGCTGTTTTGTTAACTTAGGTGCTTTCTGAGAGAGATTAGCTAGGTTGGATTTACTTTGTCCCTCTCTTACTCCTCGTGCATTGATCATGAAGTGGGTTCAGGTACATCTGAAGACACCTATGAATACTTCAAATGATACTTACAAGGATACTTAAAATGGTTTCAATTAACCCTTTTCCAGAACACATATATTTTTTGATTTAGGTAAGATATTCATTGCTTAATATTGAAGACCCTGTTATCTTGAAGGAATTCCAGTGTTCACTTTTTGTGCAAGAAAAATTTAAATACAAGAAATAGGAAAAAATTATGAGATTGATTACTTCTCACTGACTTCTACTGTGAAGTGATTTATTTGTCTATATGCAGAAGTTTACTAATTTCCTGCTGTGTCTTATTTTCTCTAAGGAGTGGCTTACATATTGAGTCAGAGATAGACAGTGTAAATGTAATTGTGAACACCTTCTGATGTTCCAGGAAAAAAACCCAAACCAACTAAATCAACCAGAAAACCAAAACCAAAACACCGGGGTCAGACCAGGTTTCATTGTTGGATAGCCTCAGTGATTTGGCATTTGAATTATTTAAATCAGAGAGGATTTGCAGGCTCTTGCAAAACAGGAAAGGAAGAACCTGGATTCCCTGCACACGGCCCAGGTGAGCTAGGCTGCGCAAGGCAGAAGGTTAACCCAGATCACTCTACTATGCTCCACAGAGACTACTGAGGAAAAAGGTGATTTTCAGCTTACGTTATTCAAGAGCATTCAACGAGCTTTTAGTTAGGAAAGGGCTCCTCTCCTTTTTGCGTTTATACGCACAGACTTTGGAAGCTGATGGCACTAACCTAGGCACATATTTTGTGTGAAAACACAACGCCTTCTCAGATTACCCAAGAAAATGACCTAACCAGTGGGCTATCATGTTTTAAGGGAGTTATCTCTCTGTCTCCTCTTGGAGCTGTCCCACTTAGCGTCGATTATTAACTACTGACTGAAGTAGGACTTGACCCTGACGCGCCTACATTCCGCAAATATTCCGACCAGCAGACTCTCACATCAGCCTATTGCTTATCTGTCTCTATAGCGCAATGAATAAATATACAGAGTGGTTGGATGTCCCTGATGTTATGCAATATTCCACATGCCTAGCTTCTACGAAGACCTTTTACGTTATTCGAATAGTGTCAGCTCATATTCCAATCCACTACCCACTTCCTGCAAGCTGAGCTCAGGGGCAGGGTAGGGATGAGAGGCTGCAGAGGACAGCAAGGTGTTGCTTTGCTAACACAGCACCCTTCAGAATACTTAAAAGCCACTGTGTCCCCCCCGACCTATTGCACCTTCGGCAGCAAGTACAGTGATACAGCTTGACTGTGGCTTCGCAAATTTTTGTTTGTCCCTGCTCTAATTTCAGTGAAAGCACACAGATGCTGGGCACTGAGAAACAATAACTAACTCAGTTTTCTTGGGATTGGGTTTTTTGGTTTGGGTTTGTTTTTCCGTTGTTTTTTTTGTGTGTGTTTCTGCTTTTGAAATCTGCATTTTTCAAATGGCTTTTAATATTACTTTATGCACATAAAATGCAGAATCTTTTGGGTTGGCTCTCTACCTTCTCTCTTGGGAGAAGAACAAGACAATTGCACTTATTTTATGCCTGAGAGAATGATATGCCCCACTTATTAAATTATTATTTTTCTCATGTTATTAATATACATTGCTTTGATGAGTTATATGTTTGTTGCATAATGATGACCCTTCTCTTCAACAGAACAGTAAATCACCTATCCTCAGGAAAAACAAGCAAAGGGTACAGCAGCTGGAAAAGCTAGTGAGATCCATCAGCCTATGAAATATTACTGAGTCAGGAGACTTTTCAAAGATAGCTGCATGCCGGGCAGCAGATGAAGGCAGTGAGCGGAGCATACTCCTGAATGTGTCAATTGTGTTCCAGCTTTTTTTACAAGAGCCTTGTACTTTGGCAGAATATCAGAGCAAAGCATGTAAGGTGTTGTAAAATATCTGCAGGTAGAGAGTAGAAATTGCTTTTTATTTTTTCAGGAACTGAATTCAGCATTGTTCATTGGTTTTAAGTCCTTTCTCTTTCCCAAAAACAAAGGAAACTATGCTTACCTGGAAGGCCAAATTGTGCACTCCTGAGGGATCACAGTGGGTCTCCGTCAGCTCCATGTGCCTAATCTGGGCAGGAGAGTTTTGGGGGAATGTTGAAAGCTACTTGCAGCACAGGACAACAGCAGCCAGAATCTGGTTAATCCATCCACAGAGCAGGTATCACTTGAAGCCTAGTTAGCTGGAGGCTCTCTCAGATTACTCTTGATCACTCTTAGCTCCACCTTCTCGCTCCCTGCTACAGCCTTTCTTGCCAGCATGAAAAATGGCATTCAGTGTTTTCAGAGGCAAGAAGGGAGGATACCTAGGGGCACCAGAAATATATCTTACCGGGTATATTTCTGGGTGAGTTCAAATGCAAATGCGTGTACTCATATGACTTCTGGCTTTCCTCACTTGTATAGGGGAAAATCTTTCACACTCAGATTTTGAGAGGTCAACACAGTTTTAGTCTTTTTTACAGGTATTCTCAAGTAACTATTTTTGTGAAATTATTGTAACTCTATTTTTATAGTAGTTAAGGAGTTCACCCAGGAAGAGAAAAAATCAGAATGAGAACAACTCCCAAAACTCTTACAAATACTGGTTATGCATTTTCAGTTGGCATCCTGTACTTTATGGCATGGAATAACTTGGTTATCTGTCCACAGATTACTCACCTTTAACAGGAGAGTTTTTATAACACTTTCCAGGCTTGCTATTTGCAGTATTGCAAATATGCATTATTAGAAGTATCAGCTGGGGCTCTTCCCCATGTTTTTTGTTGACTATGGACTTTGTGTATACAGGTTGTTCTAAATCTTGAAAACAGTAGCACTATTACAGACACTAATGTCAGACAGGATTTGTGTGAATATAAATTTTGCATTTAAGAGCAATGTAAATGATAGTGTTCTGTTTCTTTGAAGTACAGCAAAGTATATTTATGTATTCGGTAGGTGTCTGCATTCATGTCTTTCTACACACAGATTGAAACTGTCATGAGTTATGCCTCATCCTGTGAAAAAGAAAATATTATGCCCTGTTTTACATTTAAAGATGGAACGGATTAGCAGGACTGAATATATTATTTGAAATAAAGAACAATTACATGAAAAATAACTTGTCTTTCTGAGGAATTCTCCAACTATGTTTTACTAATATTATAAATCATACTGTTGCAATATATATTTTATAAATCTCATAACTATTACTCAAGAGGGAGAGATAGTTGGGGTTTTTTTTCAGTAAGAAGTACATGACTTTTAATGATTTATTATGGTTTTCAATGTTCAGAATATTTTTGGTGCCCCAGGTTTTGGAATCAGCATGTTTGTTGCTATTTGTATTTTCTCTCTAAGTAGAGGAAATTCTCTGACTAATTGATTCTCTGCACAATACTCTCCAGCAAGAAATAGCTGAAAATATCTTTAACAAGTTTGAGTATAAGTGCCTGCTGATTACTGCATACCTCAGCTGTTTTTCTCTTCCTTTCTTCCTTCTCTCCTCCTTCCAATTTTGAACATACTTTTACTATTAGAAGGCAGAGAAAACAAGGTAATGAATTATTTTCAAATGTACCCCATGCAGTTTTAAAATATGTAATCTTCACTTGCATGGTTCGAAGAAAGGTCTACCCTGCTAACTATTATAAGATAGGAGTATTTCCTTTATTGATCCTCTTCTTCTGGCAACCCATTAGATAATTTTCAGAACTTGTTTTCTCATTGAAAAATCTCAGAATAACACTGACTCAATAATTTCAGTGCAGTTTTCTTCTCTGAATTATATTTTATGTTAAAAAACTCAGAGGATATTGAAAACAAAATCCACACATCCAAGACAAGTTCTGAAATCACTGTAAAAATAATGAAATATGGCATTTCTCTGCGGACAGAGGACTATACAGTTAAAGAAAAGGTGGAAACTCACTGATATTTTTTGACAGGAATATATTTATATATATATATGTATAAAATATATTGGTCAGAAATATATTTAGTGTCTGACTAACAGCAAAACCCCTTCCTGTTTCTAGTTAGTTTAAATACTTACATGAACACATGGGTGAACTCCCTAACTACTATAAAAATGTCATGTAGCTTGGTTAGGCCAGAAGGACTTTTTTGGGTAGTATGGAAATATTAATCAACAGCACTACTTATAGTATAAACATCAGGCAAATACATAGCAATGTGATTCATGCTAATTTGCTAGATGCATAGAAAAGATGAGCAGGAATATTAAAAGCAAGTAAAGTGTCTAAAAAAGAGTAGAGTCATTCTGACTTTTTTCACTGTTGAACTGTGGGAAGCAACTTCATAGTTAGGACTTGTAAAGTTGTTCAAAAAATCAAATTTTTTACATACTTAATTGATCCTATTAATTATCTATAGTTGTGCTAATAATACTCAGCTGTGGTTTCAAGAACATTTCATTTCAAAGTTTCAAAAGTTTTGAGATAAACCAACCTCAGTCTCTCTTACATGCTCTGAGTAAACTGTCCTCGGTGGAAAGGTCGATGAAAGAAAATCATGATTATCGCTGACAAATGGTTGGCAAGCAGAAGATTAGTTCCTTTACATTTTGCTATATATCCTAACCTTTATTTAGCCAGTCCTGCTTATCCCTCTACTGACTTCTTTGAGTGAAAAAGATGTCTTCCATATTTGAAAAGACACGGATCAAAAAAACGTATTTTGTTAACATCTGTAATCCCCAATCTCAAATGTTTGCAGTATGGCCTATTCAGTTTTTAGAAATATTTTCATTTTGATACTGATGTAAAAGATAAATTCTAAACCTTCACATTATCATGAGAATGAAGGACGTAGGGAAGAAAATACTGTTTCGGGGGGAAAGAAATATAATTTTATGTGTGTAAAATTGTCCCTCAACACACATTTTTCTTGGAAAATATGACTTTGGGACTCATTTTTAGCAGAAGGGAACTTCTGGTTTTCCAGGAGGTTTTCCCGGTCCTGCAGTCTTAGGGAAAAGGGGACAGTGAAAAGCTCTTTGCCAGATAAAAAAAAAAGCCATAAAAAACCCAGAATGCTGTCAAGTGTGATGAAATCCGGGCACTTGTATACAAAGTGAATGTAAACGAGGTGGCTGAGTGGCCTTCTTCCCTCCCCGGCTGGGCTGTGAGATCAGTTTTTGGTCCTTGCTAGTCACAGCCTCTTGCCCAGTAAATCTCCAGCCCCTATTCTGGCTCCCAGCTCTCCTGGGATCTTTTCAAATCTGTACTATTTTGAGCAGATTTGTTATCTTCCTTGTTTATTTTCTCTTGTTCACTTCCTGGTTTTTCTGTGGCAGTAGAAATGAAACTGTTTCATGCTTACCAGTTGTCCTACGGTTCCCCTTCACGAAAGAAAACACCGTTAAAAAGTGCATGTTTGACAAATGCAATGAACTAGGGAGGAAGAAGAACCTTAGAGGAAAGTCAAGGGCCTTTGAGAACTATTGTGTTCTACCTTGTGACAAATACCCGTGTAAGGCTAAACAAAAGGAATCTTAAATCTATTGATTCTCAGAGAGTAGCAGTAAGTTCGGAAGAGTTCAAAGTGACCACCCCAGAGGGAATAGGCTTTCTGAGAAACATAGAAAAAGGATTTTATGTCATACCTCAATCGTGTGATACAAGGGCTAAGTAAAAGAAAATAACACTACAGAGATGCTTCCATAGCATGTTGATGTGAACATAGAATGAAAACAAACAAACAAATAAAAGCATATAAAAGAAGAAAGTTATACACTCTAAAGGTAATAGAAAGGATTACTTTAAAGAATACTAATAAGGAAACTACCTAATTAGGATAGAAATCTTAACTAGGTTCAATGACTTTCAAAAGTGTTTGGCCATCTGCAGGTGGAAGCTTCTGTATGAACATGGGCTCAAAGACAGAAAAATGCTCTTAGGCTTACAAAGCTGTCTTTTAATGTCTTATTCATCTAAAATTGTCTTATTTATCTAAAATATCTTTATCAATAGATGAATTTTTGATATAATTATCTAAATCTAACTGAAGAAAAAGATATCTGTTTGTTCTCTCTCACTTGTACTGTTTTTTCTAAACTTTTATCCATAGAAATATAACTGGCATCAATCTGCAAATGTCATCATACGCAGACATGGGCTGAAACAATGTTTCTTTTAGGCAGTGGGTTTGGGTTGTGTTCTTTGTTTGGTTTGGTTATTAGTTTGTGTGGTTTTGTTTGTCAGTTTTGTTAGCTAAATTACACCTTCTGTATGCTGGAAAACCTTTCCACACCGTTTCTGATCATTGCTTAGACACAAGAATAGACCCTATAGACTGTGTAAAGACAACTGATTTTGGTGTGTAATTTGTGTCAGTACGCTTCATGCAGCATGCAGTTTAGGTTTCGGTATGTGTGTAGTCTCATAAGTTCATTTTTACTTTGTAATAATTTTGCCTTTCTGTAAAAGTTCTATTCAGTGGGATGAAATGGAACAGAGTCAGTGAGATAGGCAGTCAGTGCTCTTGTGAAAATTGGACTTCTGATAAAGAAAATTAATTAAAAGTAAATAATGCATACATGCAAAGGCACGTGTGACAAACCTTGTGGAAATTATTTTATAATTATGATATCGGGGGAAACTCGAGGTCTTTCTGTAGTTCTATTTGAGTGTGGCTGGCATATTCAAGGGGGAGTGCTTCATAGACACTTCTCAGCTTTTCTCTGCACAGATGAGAGAGCACTCTCATTTGTGACAGATTACTTCACTGAATTTCTAGCTTGCTTTGTCTCAAAGCAGCTGCCTAACTGACACTCGATTTCCCCAAGTGCTGGATTCCCAGAGATGCCAGGCCCTTCCCTGGCACCTCCTTCAGGGCTGAGACCAGTAGTTAGATGCTACATGCACTTAGGGATGTGTCAACTGACACCCTGGGTGGGGAAATGGAGTAATTCTGGAGGCTCCTCGGGCAAGGTAGGTCCTATTGCAGGGAAAGAAGTTGACCAAAATGTGCATAGATAAGAGAATCTGAATAATTGAATTTTGAATAATCAGTAGAAACTCTTCCTGTAATGGTAAGGTCTTTTGTATACAGCTAAGATAGCTAGAATATGTTTTGCAGGTACTTTAAATTAGCACATGCAATTATTGGAGTAGTTGTCCTGCTAATAGGACTAGACCAGGACACTTAATAGTTACTAGAGCTGTAAGAGTTCATCTCAGCTGCAGTTCGGGAGTCTGATCTGAGCCAGTGAAGATGCCATTGCAATGCTTGCAATGAAGAGTCCTACATCACCT